TGAGCCTAAATTTCGGGTAGCTACCTACAAGCGGATTCGCATGGCGACCATTCGGCTCTGGCTAAACCTTAATTTCGTGTTTAACTACCCAATCTGTCTGGGCTCCAGCTTGTATTGTTGCCCTCACTGACCTGGATCGAAAGGTCTGGACGAGCTGGGTTGAAACCAGGCTCTCGCCAAAGAACTTCCCCTCCAAACCCAATCCTCAAAACCAACTCTGCACCACCGGCGCTGATCTGCTTGCCTGCCCCAAAGCCACACACACTGACCAACCAAAAGGAAAATTCCGAAGCCGCCCCGCCAACAGGTTTATGCCAAGAAAGGATTTCGAATCGGCCGGGGTTCCAAAGGAGCCGCGTGAGAGGAATCCTACAGCGGGCCTGCAAGTCTTTTCAACACGTGACTTGAGGGCTGCCATGCGGTGTGTAATTACAAGGAATGCACGGACGTCTTGCAAATCTTGTTCTGAAGAATCTAGGTACATAAGTTACGTCATGTTTTGCACAGCCATGGATTTATGCAACAAATGCAAATTCAGACAACAACTCGACAGAAATAACAGCAAGTCCTTAGACACAACAGGAAAGCATCAAAACTAAATTTTCACACGCCTAACGTTGACTACTAGAACGGGAAATGGATGGGACGAGAGGCAAGAGTTGCAAATCTCGACTACACAACGGAGAGTGACAGACTAATTGGGTTGCGACCTTAAAGCAGAAAATTCTAGGGTGCGGTCCGGGTGGTGCCATACACCTAAATGAATAGGCTCGTGGCGCCGGATGTTACCCGACGTACCCTCGAACCTTCTGCGACTCATGGTCCAAGGCTCGATTGAAAGGTGCATGGCATAAAAACCGTCAGAGGCAGCGGCATTTCCGGAGGAAGTAGATTGCGTAGCGATGGGTGAAGAACCTGCCAGTTCGTTGAGTCTCGGAACGCATGCGTTTGGTTGCAAAGTTTGCTAAGTTCCAGGCTCCCTCGCAGTAGATTGTCGTATTCTTGCCTCTCGTTGAGGTCGGTTTGCTGGCCTTCGCTTCCTTTCCCTTCTCTCAGCTCCCTCTCAGCTCCCTCTCAGCTCCCTCTCAGCTCCCTGCCAATGCGCCCTCGCTCTCCACGTGGTTCGCAGCAGACCACTTTGAACTGAACCCCCTGACCGGAGCAACTGCAATTCGCACAGCGAGGCCCAGAGAGACATGCGCACAGACCTGAAAAGTGAACTGGTCATTCATGGCGAAGCTCTGCTGCTTGTTCCTCCCCAATGCACAGCACGACTCCCAGGTCGTAGCAAGTCACGAGCACGTCTCTCCGTGTCAGGTATGGCTTTAAGTAATCGTTGAAGATGTCGTACTCATACCTGGAAGCAGAGCAACCCGACAAAGCTGACATGAGTCTGTGAGCCTTGTCGAGCCGAGGCCACGAAACGACGAAGGGGATCACCTTCTGTTTGCTCTGGGCCACCCCGCGCTGCAGGCAGTGTGTCTTGAAAGGGTACGAAGTGGATCTTGGAGAACTCGGGCCTCGAGAAGCTGCGAGAAGCTGCGAGAAACTGTGAGAAACTGCGAGAGAAGCGACCAAGCACAGCCCGCCACGTGTTGTCCCAATCGACGAATACCTGGCCGCTAGCCGTCACGGGCCGTAATTCGAAGCCGGTGAAGTTCTGAAAAATGCCAGCGGCACCACAGTGCTCAGATCAACGATGCCTATTTCGGGTGGCACTGGCTCGGCAGCCATCACCTGTCCACGGCGCTACATGAAAGGTCAGCACTCTCTCTGTCTCTGCCACAAAACTCGCCTGAAACTCCATGCCATTGATCTGTAGCTGTTCGTTGACACTGACGATACTCGTGACCTGGCAATGCTCTCCGACTAAAGCCGAGATGACCTCGGCTCAAAGTCTGAAACTGCTGGACGCCCCTCATCTCGTGACATGTTCTGACACAGTCTCTTGTGGACACAGTCTTCTCCTTATCCGTCTATCTGACTCTCTCTTGTATCCGTTCAGTCGCTAAGCTAACCTGAAGCCTCTCGTTGCATGAGGTCCCCACAGTCGCCCTTCTCGGCCGCAGAAGATCCCGGGGGAGGACAGCCCCAACAAGCAAAGGCGTGGCGCTGTGAAAACGGACCTTACGAGGACCTCAGTCTCGCTCTCTCTCTCTGTCTTCGGGGCGACTTGGTCCAGACTGCATCGGCTCGGCGTCTGCTTCTGCAAGCGGCCTCGTTGGAGTTCAACCTCTTGAAGTACGGGTTGATGTACTCTTGGAACAAGGCTGTTGCATCCTGGCGCAGATAGGTACTCACCCCATTGGCAGATCTGTCTCAACATAATTGCAACTCTCTGCGACTGACAACATAATTGCATGCCGCATACCCAAGACTCTTCTTTTTTGCGTCTCTAAGGGGTGTGTAGATGCTCTTTTCAGCCCGTCCTGGTCTGTCCGAGTCCGCTCGAAGTCCCAAAGACAGATGAACTGAACCTCGCGAGAGGCCGAGGCGAAGCGGCCTTGAGGCACGAGGTGGGCCCCCCACCTTCTCGAACCTTTTCAGCGGAGATCCTTCAATGAAGTAGTCGGTGTTCATGGCCTCAGTCTCGCCACATTGAAGGCTGCGCTCACAAGCTGAGTCAAGCCCTTTCCCAAGGGGACAAGCTAGAATGGCGTCATCTGGCTCGCATTTCACCTTGCTGGAACAGGGATCAGGACAGCTCGCCAACAGTGGCAAGGATTTAACTCAATTGCTGCGGCCCCGGCCACGACGAACTCATATCCAGCAGGTCTCAGAAAAAGCCCCGTCTTCACGGGAGTCTGCGCATCGCGGCGGCTTCGATACGCAACGATGCTCAAGACTGATGGCCGCCGAAGGCAGATCTCCTGACTGTTTCGCATGCTTCGCAGAAGGGGCGACAAGATCTCCAAACGCCTGGCTCTTTCGCATGCTCTGGCCGCAATCTGCGGGGCACAATGATACAATGCTTGAATCATCTTAAAAAGATGAAAACCCGAGCTGAGCTCGCTGAGCTCTGCGCTGGCTCTGGTCGCAGGAACTCGGGAAGACAGGCAAGATGTGCACCCGGCGAGCGTTCCTGACAGCCAAGCCCGCTCTCTTTGACGGCTGAGGGCTTTTAGCTCCTTTGAGCTCTCAGCTCGGGGCGGCTTGAGCGAGGAGCCCGCGGAGCCCGTTTCGTTCTTGGCCGCGGCCGCCGCGGCCGCCTCCGCCGCCTCGGGTCGAGCTTCTGCTCCCGAGGTTTGGGAGCCCTCAGCGCCCACGGCCGAGTCCTGCGCCGGACAAAAAGAGCGGAAGAAGGGCAGAAGCGGGGGAAGGAGCGGGGAAGAAGCGGAGAAGGAGGAGGGGCGCCGCCGCCCGCCCTATGCGCCCGGGCCTCGGCGGGCTTCGCGGCCTGGCGGAGCCACTTGGCTCGCTGCGCCTCTCCGCGAGGCGCTCCGCGACGCTCTCCGCGACGCTCTCCGCGAGGCTCTCCGCGAGGCGCTCGGCGACGCTCCGGCGACTCCAGGCCCTGCCTCGCGGTAGTCCTCCATGTCCTGCACCACTCGAAAAAGGAAGGCCCCTCTCTGCCCCGCCCCGGCGCCCCCTCCTCCCAAGAAAGCGGAACGTCGACTATCGGGCTGCGCTGAACCCCCCCCCCTTGGCGGCTTCTGCCTTCGAGGTTGAAGTATCCAAGTATCCCTTTTCATGTCCTGATACTTACGGCTTGAGCGCGATATGCCAAAAATCTGCGAGATATGATATGTCGCTTCTTTCTAGTTGGAGTCTGGAAGAGGAGCGAGAAACACGCACGAAACGTGACACTGGCAGAGAGTACATGTTAGTGCCCACCAGTGGCAGCACATGAACTCACAGAGCTTCTTTTTGGCGGCGCCAAGTTGGGGCTGCGTCAAACGCTTGTGAAACATGTCCTGAGGCATCTCTCACAGAGAAGCACATGCCTCTGGAGTGAAACGAGCTATGACCTCGGCAAAGAAAAACACCCTCAAGCTGCAGCAAGCATCATGCTGCCTCATCTAGCCAAAGGGCACAGGCCCACCTGATGGGGGCCTGGAGCTGTTGTTGATCATCGGCGCCGTGATTGGATACCTTTAGCAAGAATCCGTTGCGCCCACGCATGGTTGCTTCCATCCTTCCCCCTGCCTCTCCACGCGCTGCTGGATGATGCGCTGCTGGTTTTCCATCTGCATCTTCAGGTTTTGATATCCTCAGAGGAACTCTGGCAAAACTGCCGCGCCGCGCGGCGCGCAGCGCTCGCGCAGCGCTCGTCGGGCCGGGCGGGGCCCGGGCGCTGCAGCAGGCGCTCCATCTCCGCCTTGCGACTGCGCCGGAGCTCTTCGCGGGAGGCCCTGGGCAGCGCAGGCAGCGCGACGCGGAGCCCCCCAAATTCTCCCATTTTTTTGCTTTTTGCTGGGCTCCGCGGCTTGAGCCGCTTGAGCAGGCCCCCCATCTCAAGCTGCTGCTTGTGCAGGAACCTGAGACGATCGTCGACTTTTCCACAAGCATTCCACGTGTTTTTGGGTCCGCTGCTGCTCCTCCATAACCGCAATCCTGGCTTCACGCTTCTCCTGCAGGTGCCAACACTGTCCCTTCGCCCTCCCGACTTCTTGCACTGTGTGCACACTTCGCACCTTCCACTGATTGTGCTCTCTTGCTTCCAACTTGTCTGCCTGAACCTTCACATCGAGACGAATCGCTGAGAATGAGAGGCCTGGCGAGAGCCTGGCCTTCGTCTTCTCAGCCTCTGCGTACTTCCGCATTTTTGCCAAGGTCTCCTGCGACAAAAAATGTACATGTTGAAAGAGCCCGAGGCAGCCGCATCGCCGCATCGTCTCCTGGATCTTCCGCAGGTTGAGGAGATCGCGGCTCCACCTCGGTGTCCTCTGACGGCAAGGGGTGTTTTCGACAGATCTCGTGGATCCGTATCTGACGCCGTATCCGCTCTCCTAGGCTCCACTTCTCTTCGGAGTTTCTCCAGGTGGGCCTGAAAAAATCGCGCCCTACGACATTGAAGAATCGTGGACCGGACTGCGGCTCCTGGTGTTCTTGCTTATGTCGGGTTGCGAGGACCTTCTGTAGCTGGTTCGCCTGATACAGAGTCGGATACCTGCTTAGATGCTTGAAAATCCTCCATCTAAGATTCCAGCACGAGCATCAAAGTCCTGCTGCTTCTGGTCCCAGATGTTGCTGAACTCCTTCCGGGAAGCGTCAATGCACGTCGCCACGAAAGAACATGTTGGCACGTTGCGCCTGCAAGCCCAACATGTGAGCTTCTTCCACGCCCATGCGTTCTGCGAGCCTCTTGACGTGTACATGTCCGCATGAAGACGTGACATGAGCTTGAAGCAGGAAGTGTGCAAACACTTTGCACGCAGTGGAAGACTGTGCGACAATAGCTGGCATCCGTACCTACGCACATTCATAAGAACATGCATGCAACCATGCAGACACGCAGACATGCTTGAACATACCGACCATGGTGCATAGAAACCGACGCATGCCAAAGCTGGTAACTTGAGCTGGTTGTGCTCTGTTGCCATGTCGGCACGTGGCCGAGAAGACCCGACCAATTCCACAAAGGACTGCCGAGCTCGAGCCCCACGAGCCCTAGGAGGGTAGAACGCCTAGATGTAACTTTTTTTTGTGGCCCAGATGTAACTTTCGAGGTTTTTCCACAAAATAGCCTACGCAGCCTAGTTATGATTTTTTTGCTCTATTTCGGAGTGGAAAAGTTACGGGGGCTTTATTCCTCCGGGTTTTCGTCTTCAGCCAAAGGTTGTTGCTGGTTTTACTCTTTTGGGTTTTCGTCCTCGGCCTAAAGTTCATGGTGGGATTACTGTTTAAGCAGTTGCGGTCTCGCCTTTTTGCCACCTCAAACGTCCTGCGAAGCTGTGTGTACCGACGGCTGCATAGCAGCTCCAGAAAGGAGAAACCAAAAAGCCACACCAAAAGCTATGCCATAGCCATAAAAGACTATGGCATAGCCCTTTGCCAGCACACCTTCCAAGCCAGGGCAGCAGTAAAGACTAAGGACCACCAACACCACTCAGTCCTTGCTCGAGCACATCGTTCGGCCGGCAAAGAGATAATACCACGCCTTCCGAGGAATCCGCGAGTTCTCAAAGAAGACGGCGCGGGAGAGGGCCCAGGGAAAAGCAGCAGCAAGCTGCTCAATCCTGGTGCGCACTTCGGCTGGTAGCCTAGGGAGGCACGTAACCGCCGCTATCACCTGGAGGTAGATTTCCATGACCCGAGAAGATAGCCAGCGCCCGCGGCGCCTGACTAACTCGACATTCTCAGTCTGTTGTAACATCCAGGTCGCACCGCCTGGCCGTAGCGAAGCCAGCTCAAAAGAAGCTTCTCCACGATGGTGCAGAAAGGCCGGGAACAGCGAGAATGCCAGCTGGTGGGCCATGGCCCGACGCAGGCTCGGCTGAAGCGCCAAAGAGGTAGAGCGACCCTTTGCAGAGGCAGCCTTGGCAACGGAGCTGTCAACAAGCACAGTAAACCGCGAGTGGGGGCTGGTCTTAGCAAGCTGCCTTTCGAGGATACCAATGGCCCCGAGCTCGAGAGTGTTTATGTGGGACTTTCCCCGCCAAGGCACAACAAAGTCAACTCTCCAGGGGGCCGCACAGAGAAGGTCGTTCACGACAATGCTTTCGATGCCCGGTCGCATTTGCCCACCACGGGAGTGCCTAAGGGCCTTGAAGAAAGCCTCTGCAACCTCATTGGAGAGGCAACCGAAAAGAGGGTCGGCAGGGCCCTGCATGCATAGAGTCGAACACCCACAGCTGGAGGTGCAAGTCCGAAAGCAAACATACTCAAGCCTGCTGGGCCAGCCATACTGGCAGAGGTCAAGGCACCACCTGTCAACCTTCTGCTCAGTGACAAGCTTACTCAAAGCAGGGGGGTAGAAGCTGTCGAGGCGGGCAGGCGCAGCAAGCAGGCACGCGAGACGGCGAGGCGAAGGCACGCAATGCACTGGCTAAGAAGAAGCTGATCAGCAGCAGCAAGCCTTGGAGCCTTGGTGGTGGCTCTCCGACGGCCCGGCACAGCAGGCAAAGCGGGAACCTCAAGGCAGGGCAGAACAAGCAAGGCCCGAACTGCCAGCCCCAACAGAGGTCTGCAGCCAAAGCAGGAAGTCGGGGGACCTCGGGTCAAAGTTTCTTGGGCTGTAGATGCTGCTGCCGCTTCATCAGATGGCGCTACGTTGATCGTCACCTGCTTCATCTCCGACGAGTTCCCCTTGAAGAAACTCCACGCTTCCATCAGTTTCCATGCTCGTTCTGAAGCCAGCTGCTTTGTTAGACCATCTGCAAGCTGATCAAGTCCAGGTTGATGCATAAGCTGGTACTCATCGGAGTTCACGAGCTCGGACAACCAATGTTCACGTAGTCTCAGATGTCCAGTTCTCCAGCTTCCTCCAGAGCTCGCAACTGCTATGGCGGCGGTGGCGGCAACTCTGAGCTCACACATCTCTGGTCGGATGCCCATATCTTCCAAAGTCGTCTTAACTGATCTCAAGAGCTGAGCTCCCTCGCTCAACGCAATCAGTTCTGCCTCTGCACTGCTGAGGGCCGTTAGACTCTGGTTTGCTGCTCGCCAGCAGATTGCCACTTCCTTCCAAAGCACCAGTGATCCTGGGAAGTGCTTGCACATGAATGATAATATGGGCTGTGATCGGCCGCAAATCCCATCTCTCAAGACAAAGTGTAGGGTAGAGATCCATGGATGCCTCGCATATCTGCTTAGCAGTCGGCGGACTCGCTTTAGGTTGGTGGGCTCATCCAGCCTCTTCGCCGAAGTCTGACCCTTTCGTCTGCCAGTGCCATTGTTCGAATCCGATATCTAGTGATAGAGCTGAGCCCCTGAGTGTCTGGTTCTGGCTATCCTTATCACTGGGAGTGGCTTTGATTTGCTCTAACGCTGCGTTGGTCTTCCGATTTGCACAGTCAGAGAGTGGGAACAAGGAGTGGTCGGTATCTGTTAAAGGGAGATCCGGCAAAGGCGTCCTCGGTGCGCCAAAGGGTTTGCAGATTTTAGACCAGTAGCATGGAGGTCGCGACGTTGTGTATGTACAATATCATGCCGATCCGGGCGTGTGGCATACGAGACTGCTGACGGCTGACTTGGGAGGGCAGGAATGGATGATCGTGACGCCCGACCTTGATGTGTATCCGGAGGTCTTCGCTCCAGGAAATCCTGATTTCGTCCGCTTCTACCATGCTCCCAATGGGAGGATTCCTCGCCAAGTCCCTGCCGCGCAGGTTTACGCATTCGCTCCGATGGATGCTCGAAGATTCGGTGATCTTTTACGACTGGGACGGCGAGCTGCTGATCAAGAATTGGTGGCTCGGGGTGCTGCCCCGCCTGCTCCGGCAGCTGTTCCTGGTCCTGCCGTGCCGGTCGTTGTTGGTGGCCCAGCCGACGGTAATGTTCCAGCCGCAGCGGCTGCCTTGAACACGTGGGTGGCCCTGGAAGATGTGGGTTCGCACAGTCGAGGCGATGTAATTGCTGTCGATTCCGGGTCCCTTCCGCAGGGTCATATCATTCTCGGAGACCGCGCTTTGGTGCCGGTTGGCAACCTGGTAATGACAGTCAAGAAGGTTGCCCCAGATCAGGTCGCGATTGCCAGGTTCGATGACCTTCGCATCTTGCCCGTTCAGTTTGATGCCCAGGGCATCCGGCGGCGCGAGTTCAATGCAGCGATGGCCCTCATGCAGGACACCGCTCCTCAGGGAGGCGGGTTACAGCTGCAGGGTCCGGCTTCCCTGTTGAACGTGCTGAAGATGATGCGGGAGCAGAGCTTCACGCCCTCGACGTTTCATGAATTCTGGGTGCGAAGCTCCGAGCTCTCCAGGGGCGACCGCTCAGTCTATGAACACGAGTGCCTCTCTCGAGTGCTGGAGGCTATGATCACCGTGGATCAGCTCAACGTGCCATGTCTCCAGGCCGCAGAACTCATGGGCGTAGGCTTCAAGTGATCAGGGAGGCGCACCGTATCAGTCCTGGAGCGCCGGATTACTCGGCGGCCGACGTCATGATGGGGTGGAAGTATCGAAAAGCCGGCCAAGGCATTGATGCTGGGCTTGCAGCCCATGTGGCATCTGAGCTCAAGAACGAGGCCGCCATCGCTAAGGAGGCCAGAAAGGCTCGTGAGGAAGCAGATCTTCGCCGCCGCAAGCCCAACCCGAAGTCAGGGGCGAAGGGTGGAGGCGGCGACGCGCCATGAGCGCGGAGGAGGTGGCTGACGGGGCCGCAGCCGCTATCACGTGCAGTCAGGCCCCCAGGTGTTCGGAGAACGATCCTCCAGCACCTGTGAATGCAGCTCGCCTGGGTTCTCATTCCAAGGATTTTAGCAATTTTGATGGGGAGGACAGGAACAGAGACCTTTTTCCCATACCCTTGATTGAGCCTCGGGATTGTTCGGGATTGTCTCCCAGCACTTCTCGGCGGCGAAGGGCGGCCCGCTTCAACCGCAAGGTCAGGCTCGCCAATGACGTTTTGGGCACCCTGAATGAGATGTACCGCCAGGCAGGGACCCATGCATGCTCAAGTATATCCCCGACCACTGCGCAGTATGCCACCCAGGGGCAGATACTCCGGCAGGTCGACCGCGTCGCAAGTAAGATTCCTTTGTACAGTGAGCGTGAGGCGACCAGATCGCTTCTGCAATCTTGCCTCTCCTACAGCGAAGAGGCCAATACGACTGTTCGTCCTTTCAACTCTGACCTGGTTTCACTCCCTCGGGTGGGGTCACGCCCTCCCCCGCTCCAGGATTTGGTGGATGACTTTGGTCGTGGTATTTTGGAGGACCCGGTTGGAAATATGATGCTTGACCCTGATGAGTGGGGGCGCAAGGTGGAACAGGGGCTCGGGATCACGCCGTACATGGACGTTGTTCTCAAGCGTGACTCCCGCAGGTATGTGCAGTTCGTACGCTCCCTCTACCTAGGAGGCATGATTGCTTTCACGGATCAGCCAAAGGACCTGATGTCTCCCTTCTTCGTTGCCAAAAAGTCTGGCAAGCTCAGGCTCGTCCTAGACTGCCGTGGAGTGAATCAAAGATTCAAGGATCCACCTTCGATGATGTTGGCCGCAGGTTCTTCGTGGTCTAGCGTCGAGGTGCCAGATGGGCAGACCCTGTTTGTGGCCCAGTCGGACATCACAGACTATTTTTATTCTCTGAGGATGCCTCAAGCATTGCAGTGCTTTTTCTGCCTACCTGCCATCCCCGTTGAGGCCATGGATGCCTGGAATGTCCATGCCGATTTACGCCCGGCTGG